TTGTAAAGACACTTAATCTATATGTAATTGTGAGATAATGAGTTCAGATTCTAATATCAGTAACTGATTAAGCACATTACCTCACGTTTAAGTTTTTCGAATTCATTATTCTCAAATTTCAAATTAAGATTGAAACTTTTTAATGCGTAAATCTGTCCATTAAAAGTTGCCGAATAAACGACTGCAAAACCTCCTCAGCCAATAAGTTTTACATCTTTAAATTCGGAGTAATCAAAGCTTGTTATTTGTGTCCATATTTCCAATTCTTTAAAAAATTCTGTCGTTAATTACAAATATTAAATGTTAATATGCATCATTATTTATTTTATGAAGCCTGATTCTTCGAGAGTGAAATAAGTGCATACCTTCATTAGGGATGTGTTCAAATTCTGGATTTACAGTTCTCGTAGTATTCGTTTCAATACTATTAATGGGATTTACAATAAATTATACATTATCTTCCATTAATAATTTATTAAGTTCAATTGAAATTTTGGATAAAGATGGGCGCTGGTCTGGTTCAGTAGCCCAACATTTCGTGAAAAGTTTAGAATAACCAAAGGGTGTATTGTCGATGATTTTCTCTCTTACATTTTGTGTAATTTTTATGATAATAGCGTGATAGTAAAAATTATTAAAAGGTGGGATTCCACTTGTGAGCTCCCAGAATAGTACACCTAGACTATAAATATCAGATTTTTCATTTATTTCGACTTTTTCTTCAAAATTAATGAAATATTGTGGTTCTAGGTATGCAGGTGGACCCCATAGTTTTGTGTCTGAAGTAGCATCCAATTGTTCAAATTGTTTCGATGTTCCGAAACCAGTAATTAGGACCCTATTATTATTTATTAAAATATTCAAAGAATGCTATATACAAGATTTAAGAATATTGTCAATTTAAATTTAATGCGAATTGGAGAATTGAAAGAAATAAGTCTTACTAGATTTCGGTGAACTATGTTTTTATCGTGAAGATGGATCAATCCAAGAGTAATTTCTATTGCAATTCGGATAAGATCAACCCATAAAATTTTATAAAGATCATCCTTCTGCTTTCTCTTCAAATGGTTTCGGAGATTACCACCATTGGCATACTGTAACATTGAGTCTAAATTTTGATTCGAAATATAGTATAAGGTTAAGTTGTATTGGGATTTTTGTAAAATCAGAACGGTTGAGGCTTAATTACTAGATTGTTCGATATGCAATAACTACACTCGAGATTTTTCAGAATTTAGATCATGCACCGCTGTACAATTCTTAGATGTCTAGCAACGTCAAATTATACATGTAATCTGCTTCCCAATATGCATATATAGTATACTACCGAATACTAATTAACCATTTTGCAAACCAAATATTTTGGTACTATTCATGTTATTTGAATTATACCAAGATTACAAAATTATACAGATCAGAATCTGGATTCTGATATTTTTTCACAAGTTTTTGCAAAAAAGGGCAGCTTATATAATATAAAGATAACATATAGTCAATCATGAACACTTGCCTATAGAGACACCATAAAATTTAATAATATTTGGATGGTTATCGATCGTATAAAGGCGCTTAATCTATATGTAATAGTAGGATAATGAGAGTTCAGATTCTAATCTTGAGAAACATATTAAACACATTACCTTACGTTTAAATTGTTTGAATTCTTCTTCTTTGAATTTTAAATTATTATTAGACTTTTTAATGCATAAATCTGTCCTTCATAAATTGCCGAATAAACGACTGCATAACGTCCCACACCAATGCGTTCGATATTTTTAAATTGCGAGTAATTAAAGCTTTTTATTTTTTTCGATATTAAATATTCATCCAATCGTTTAGCAAACTCTGGTGCTAATTTCACAAATACTAAAATTTTAATATGCTTCATTATACGTATGATAAATTATATTCGTAAACATGATTACTCACATGCTTCCATTTTTTCTATTACATAATTTTAATTATATTTAAAAAATTTTTTTATTCAGATCACTATTGTGATCACTATCATAAAGGTTTAATTCGATTGCCACATAGGTATGGTCAATGTTTAAATTTAAGAACGTACGATTCTGGAAAGTTATACTATACGTATTATATATTTTTAAAATCCGGAAGGTCAAATGTTACACAAACATGTTCTCTGTTAGAGTAACGTTTCGCAACTAAAAATAGATTCAGCCTTCGAATTCAGAGGTTAAGAAAAATTTGTAAAACATGCAAATTACATTAAAAGCTGTCAAAGTAATTTTTGAAATATTTATTAGGCAGCTTGAAATTATAATTTCGTTTACCGTCCCTTTATGAGCTAAGCGCACTGGGGAGAGGTGGTTAATTCAAACAAACACTATATTACACTACAAAAATAATTATTGGCTGGGACAAGTGCGTAATCTTAAAAAGTAATAAACATTCTGATTTGCTTGTTTAACTTTAGGAAATCCTTGGAGATTGAGAGTAATGAACTTTGAACGAAATTGTATTTCAAATTGCTTTATATTTATTTTATATGTACTAAATTAAGTTTGGATAAAGTGAACTTCTTAGTTCTAATTAACTTCAATATATAGATATTTAGTATAAAGAAAAGTAATTATAATAAACGTTAATACAATTTTTGCAATACAGTATTTTCGAAACTGATTTGAGTAGCAAATGTATTTTAATTTGAAAAGCTTGGTATTAAAGCTATATATGTGTGAGATGTTAATTACAAATTTTAATTATACTACTTACGTCATTACCAATCCCAAATCCCAATTTTAATATGTTCGAAATTTTGATAATTTATTGCTTGTCTGCTATAATAAACATTTAGTATTTAAATTGCCTTATTTGGTCAACATAAAGTGGTGAGACATCAAATCTAACCAGTTGACAATTTGAGTAAATTTATTTTTGTAGTTGCTAGTTAGGCTATTTTAATATCCAGCTCTAGTTGGGCAGGGGTGCATCCAAACAAATATCAAATCACGTGCGGTGGTACTTTTCGATTATTTTAGTTGGACACATGAAATCCCATCGTCAATTGAAGGTCGTCTGAAATCAGGTAGTTTTTAAATTGATTAATAATAATAACAGATTTGTAATTAAAAACACATGACGCATGTAAATTACTATTTATCATGCCACCTTAACACAGTCACAAAATCAAAAACATCGCTTTGGTTTTTCTTCAATAAAAAAAAAAAAGGTAAATTTATTTTTCAGCGAAATTATTTATTAATGCATTTCAGAATTCTTGTAAAAATAATAAATCGAAATATTAACGAAAATAAACTTTTATAAAGTTTTTTCGGTTCTTTATTCTCAAGAGAATAAAATTTTGCTGAAACTACTGTACATTTACAAGCTTTAATTTTCAATATATCCAACTTTGTTTCAAATTCCTATTCTGGGCCGCGATTCTACTTTTGTTAAAAAAAATAATCATTTGAATGTTTCAAGTTCATTTTTATTGCAATACTGAAAATAAGTAAAATGATACTGCAAATTGCCTATTAATAGATTTGTTTTAACACTATATAATAATGTAGATCAAGTTATCAAAAACCATTTTCCCAAAAGAACATAATTAGCCAGTATTATGTTCAGGATA